CGGGACCGGTGATTGGGGTGCGGAGGGGGGAACGGGTAGGGCAGGGGAGGACAGGTCGCATTCGCTTCCGATGCCCCGGGAGTAATTAGGACAACCCGCAGGACCGAGTTCCTCTACCCCTGCTCCCGCCCCCAGCCCAACGACTCGATGCCACCAACCCCGCCCTATCCCTGCTCGCAAACTGCTCCAACGACAACAACGAGACAGAACCCGTTGCCGACTGGTTTTTCTACCCTCGCATCGGTAGGAAGCGAATCCACAAAAACTCTTGAGGGTGAAGGTAAAAGTGAAATTTCAAGATATTTGGTAAAACATTAAAGGTATTTACTTGCACTCTATATACATTACATTATGGTTTATTTACTGAGCAAGTGTCTTTCTAACAGCATTTTCCTTTTAAAAGAGCATTTCGTTCACTTCCGATTCCAGGGTATGGCAAGGGGGAATTCTAGGAAGTAAACAAAACAGACAGAAGCCGATAAACGGAACAATAAGTCAAGTCATTTTTCTTATTTAATGTAAAATTAAATATTTACATTCACATAAAATTAATGATTTTTATTTAAGTTTCTCTTCATATTTAAACATTTTGATCGAAATAAAAATTTAACGATTACATATTATATGATCCAAATTTTAGAAACTATTATCTTCATTTGAAAGGGAAAATTGCCCTTTTTCTCACACATATCAGTCCCTGACATTGATGGTAGACAATATCCACGACCAAACGCTACGTGGTCTCCGTTTTCATTACAAGAGTTTTGTCGTTTTCAATTACAAAGGTGAGAGTCACGTAACTTTCGCACCTCCTGTAATTTTTCAACGGTTGAGGTTATTTCAATGCAGTTTTCACGGAAGTGCCTGAGAGAATGAAGCTAATTGATGCAGGTATTTGTTTCTATGTTATCACTTGTAGTTTACAAGATATTGAAGTTACTTTGTATTTTTCGAATGAAAATATACACATTTTGTAATCTATCATGACAAGCCTAAAATGACGAATCTAGTGATACACATATTTCTTCTATATGTTAAATATGCATTTGTTCGAGTAATTTTGATTTATTTTTGCGACTCGTGTTTAACAGACATTTGGGCTTTAACAGTCCGTCACTGTCCTGCCCTGTTAGGCAGCTCTCCATCTGATCTCACGCGCTCAGGCCGTGCCGTTAAACACGAATAGCATAAAAATAAAATTAATAAAAACATTCCTCTCTAACATATGGCAATATGTATATCATTCGGTTCGTCTTTTACGGTCTACATTATGATATATATATATATATATA